GCAAAAAAAAAAAAAAAAAAACACACGCAAAAAAAAAAAAGAAAAAACATCCCAAAAGTTCGCTTCATACCGCAGTCTTCCAAAAAGAATTTTCAGTGCTTGTAGCAAACATCCTGGCGGGACTCTCTTGCAAGGGAAGAAGGTAGGAAGCGAGGTACGTCAAAGCAACTCCACCTCTGCACCGTGTCCCTCAAACAATGCCTTGAGCTTCTCCGCATCGGCTCGTGCCATTGCCTTCACAAGGACGCCTGGACACTTTTCAACGGCTGTCTTCGCCTCATGAAGTGGGAGTCCAGAGACAGCGCGCAGCTCCTTGATGAGTTTCACCTTGTTGGCCGAAGGGTACTTCCTGACGGTGAAGTCAAAGGCAGTTTTCTCCGCCACCTTCTTTGCAAGTGCCGCATTATCCGACGCTAATGCCTCATCTCGCGTGGGGCTGCTGGCTGATGAGAGGGCCGAGTCCCCAACGCCAACAGTACCCGTGCTGCTCCAACTGTTTCCCGCTCCTATGCCTTGCAGTAATGCCTGCTCATAGGAGAGTCGAGATGTACCACACGTCCTTGTGGTGTTCTTCAGAACGGACTCATGAAATTTACGCATCGTCGCCAGGTCCATGTTTACGTATGCCTCAGCAATCGTCTCAATTGTCTTGGCACTATCTCGTAGAGGAAAGGCCTGCATCCCCCGCGGCATCGCGGTGCCAGTCACGCCACCAATGGTGAACCAGCGGAACAGTATTTCGGCTTTCGTGTGAGTTTGCACGCGCCGCATGAAGCCCGTACCACTTTTATATCCTTCATGGGGGGTGAAAAAAAGTGAAGAAAACGCATGCAGGTAAGAGAGTCTGTGTGCATTTGCGTCAGTGGCCAAGCAACACAAGAGATGCCTTCGTGCGGTTATGTCTTTTGCAAGAGTTGGAAGGGGAAACGAGTAGCGGAAGCCAAACTGTTGCTTTCCAGAGATGGAGGCAATAAAAAACAAAATCAAAAAAGTCAGCACAAAAGCAAGGACACAGCGTTCCTTCCTCGCATTATCGCCCATGCTTCTTTTCTATGGGAATCCCTTTATCTCGCTCTCTCCTCCCTCTCCCTCTCCCTCTCCCTCTCACCCGCACTTCTTTTCGTTATGCAATGCTTTTCTTATTTCCATCCTTTGGCATGGATGATCTCTCCTCTTTTGTGCGCTGACAGATGTTTATTGATCCATTCAGGTGACGGCATCCCCCTTCCCCTCCGCCACGGAAGTTGGTGCCAACGCCGACGATGGTAACGACGGTGGAAGCAACAACGATGACGGCCGTTCCGAGCGTGTCGATCGCCGTGATGTGCGCTGCAGGTAAGAGTCCTGGCTGAGTTGGTGGACATCGTAGCGGTCCGAGGGGTGGTACTCAAGACATTTTTGTATGAGATCCTTCGCCTCTTGCGACACCCGCGGTGTGTCAGGAAAGCGCAGCGTGCGGGCAGAGGAGACAATGAGTTTGTCCTGCCATATACGCCGCTGCGACTCACCCTCGGCAAATGGGCGTCTGCCAAAGAGCATCTGGTAAAAAATGATGCCACAGGACCACACATCCACTTTGTTGCTAATGCGGGGGGTGGCAACGGTATCAAAACACTCCGGTGGCAAGTACCAGTACGTGCCTGTGCCCTGCGACGTGAGCTCGATCGTCGGGTTGTCGTGCGGTCCATCACGACTCTGAATCAACTTGCTCAGGCCAAAGTCAGTGATCTTGATCTCAAGGCTGCTTGCATTGCTTGAGTGAAACAAAATGTTTGCCGGCTTGAGGTCGTAGTGAATAATCGGCTGCTCCTGCGCCGCCAGGTATCGGAGGGCGCTCACGACTTGTAGCAAGATCAACCGCGCCTCCATCTCGCGCATGCATCCGTACCGCTTGAGGTGCGTGTCGAGGTCCGCCCCCTGGCTGTACTCCATGACGGATACAAACATCGCCTCGCCGTGTTCAAACTCGTCGTAAAGTCGTGTGAGGTGCGGGTGCTGCAGTGTCCGCATAATCGCCAGCTCACGGTCGGCGTGGCGGCGATAGTGAAGACGCGTCTGCGCAGACCACTCGCGTTGCACGCGGTGGATCTTGCACGCCACGTAACGCGCGTCCTGCAGGTCAAACGCCTTCCACACCTCCGAGAAGCCGCCTTTGCCGAGCAGTTGCATCAGCACATACCGCTGCCCCTGCCCAATGGCCAGCACTGCCATGAACTCGGAGGCGTCCTCGTCGCTGACGCGGCGTATCTCCTTCAAAAATGCCTTCTTCTCGTGGTCCAGCTCCAGCTGCCGCTGCTTCACCGCCTGGATGCTGCTTCCCAGCGCGGCAAACTCCGAGGTGTAAAGTTGCATCGCCTCCTGCGACTCCATCAGTGCGCTCTGTAATTCAGGCGTCATGGAATCCTCGTCACTGCTGCGCACAAGCTGCCGGACGCGTTTCTCCGCCGCCTTCTTCAGTTCCTCCACCTCATCGCGGCGCGACGACAACTCCTCCAGCTGCATGATGAGCTCCTTCGGTCTGTTGCCCTCCACCCACACCTCGCGACCGCTACTGTGCCACATCGCAATCTGGCCAAGCTCAAAGTGCTTCTGGTGCAGCGCCCGTCGCGCATCGCTTTTCGCCTGCCGCGCCGTTCGTAGCATCTCCTCCCGCAGAACGCGTTGGTAATGCTCCGCGCGCAATACCACCTGGCTCAACTGCGCCTCGCTCGCAGCAAGCGCGCTCTCCGCCTCCGCCACTCTCGACTCCATCGACGACAATCGCTCCCGCAACTCGTCGATTTGTGCGTCCCTGTCCGCGATCTCTTTTCTGAAGAGCGAGGCGTCGTTGATAAGTCCAAAAGAGACAAGTGTCGCCTGCTTCAGCTTCCGCTCCTGGTGCGGCCCACCACCACCACTAGTACCACCACCACAGGAGTTGCTCGGTGCAGGCACAAAGACGCAGTCACTGTCGCCTTCACCGGCACAACTATTGGTAGGTTTCTCCGGCGAGGGAGGCGCACGACTATGCGGAGGAGATTGACACGCGGAGCCTTTTTTTTCCTGCGGCAACTGCGGCGGAAGCTCAACATCCCCCGGTTCAGTGCCTACTTCGCCCTCACGCGCCCGCTTCCGCTGGTGATGCCGCGGTTCACTGGACCGCATGGTACTTTCTAAGACCTTACGAAGTGTGAGACAAAAGAGTGCAAATGTTTGTATTGCGAATTTACACATGAATTCTTCATACATTTGTACAGATGAATCTAACATTAACAGCTGCTTACTTTCTCTCCGGGAAAGAGAGAAAGAGTCTGTGTGTATTTATATTTGCCCTCAAACAGCTGTGACGGAAATATATCCACAAGAAACACACAAGCTGGCACTCCTCTCGGTGCCATGCTGCCCACCCATATAAAGAGATACACACATACACACAAAGACAGTCAACTCCCTCTTTTTACCGCAGCACCCTCTCCACAAGCCATTGGTCCTTCTCCAAGTACAGCACTAAAATAAAGGGGTCAAGTAACTCCGGAATGTTGCTCTGCAGGCACACAAAACACTGCTGCAGCACTAACCTCTTCTCCACCGGGGAGTAAAACGACGCATGCCCCCTGCAGGAACACAACACCCAGTCCGTCAACTCCCGCACCGCTGTTTCTTCCAGGCACGCCATTGGCTCCATGAACTCCAGCGTGACCTTAAAGACGCAGTCATTGTTGAAGTTCACCTGGTCCATGGAGCGACTTCGAACAACGCGGCGGTCCTCAAGAAACTCGAGGGAGTTGACTGGCACCTTCACCTGTTCCCCCTCCTTGTTGGTGTAAATGAGCATGTTGAGGTGCCCGCTCTTGACGAAGTTAAGGTCCGGCGTCGTCTCTAAAGTAACCGCCTCCCGCCCTTTTCCCATCACTTCGCCGCAGAACCGCTACGTTGCGTAACAGAAATGCAGCAGCCTAACTTCTCTTCTCTTTTTTTTTTTTTTTTTTTTTGTGGCCGGTCGTGAAGAGAGTGGCGCGGCACACACGGGGGAGAAGAGATGCAAAGAAAGAATAAGTAAACAGAGGGAGAGAGAGAGAAAGAGAAAGCTCACAGTGGTCTGGAAGAAAAGTCGGCGACAGCCATCACCACGGTACGAGAAAAGACACAGAAAAGAGGAAAGAAACAACCGCAAGCATACAATTCCACACAAATACAAACGGAAAGCAAACAATAATTCCGATGGCAACAATAAGGGGAAAGAAGCATAAAGAAAGAATTCAACATTGCAGAGAATCTACAGCGGCTGCGCCTACCACAATTCGATGGCCTCCGGTCTTAGCAGCTCACCGCCCTCATCGTACACCTCTTCCCCGTCTTCCATTGCCGCTCGTCTCATATCATCATAATCATCCTCATCTTCACTCGATATAGCGGGACCGCTGCGTCCACCACAAGCACCCGCAGCACTCACGGCTCCGGGCACCATGGGGTCGCCAAAAAAAAGCGTTGCCTCTTTACGCAGTTGTGGGGCGGCAAAAATGCATTTTCCAAACTGCTCGGCTACAACAGAGAACCCATCCGCGTCATGGGCGGCGCCTAAACGCTCAAAAAATATTTTGGGATCCCCGTGCCGCTCCTCCGCCTCGCGCTGCTCCGCTGCAAGCCGCCGGTGGGCCGGGGCGCAGACGTTGCACTCCGTGATGTCATTGAGGCAGCGCTGGTGAAAAGAGTGTTGGCACATGAAGTGCACGACCGGGAGGTCCAGCGCGGCGTGGCAGTGAAAACACTTGTGTGCCTGGAAAACGGTGGCTTTCGTCTGCAGCGCGTCAATTTCGCCATGCAACTCCCGAAGTTTCTTCAGCCGCGTGTCAATAAGACCGTGAAACGCCTCCGTCCGCTGCTCGTCCTTCCGCATCACCCGCAGCGCGTACTCGCGAACTGTGCAAAGCTGCAGCCTCGGGTTCGTGCTGAGTATCTCCACCACGGATAGCGGGGAGAGAAGGTCCTGCTCCTCAATGTATTGCAGCACCTGCACGAGGTCTTGCCACTCCGTATCCGGGCTGCGGACAAGCAGCGAGAGAAGCGATAGCCACAACTCCTTCGTGGATTCATCCGTCCTCCCCCTACTGCTACCACTATTCGCTCTACTATGGTCAGCACCAGGACCGCCAATAGTATTATTATTGTTATTATTACTATTATTGTCATTGTCGGTACCGTCCCTATTCAGTCGACTACGGCAGGTTTCGATAAGTTTCTCCCTCGCCGCCCGTCGTATGGCTGGCGTAGCACCCTCCTCCAACCTTTTCGCGTAGTACTGCATGATATCCGAGGAGAGATGCAGACGCTGCAACAATAACAACACGCCTTCCTCAAATTCTTGTTGTTCCGCCAGTGCCAGGGCATGATAGTCGTCGTAACTACCGGCGTACGCTTCAATAAATGTCAACGCCTGTTCAAGCCGCCTTTCATACGGTTCCACTGTGTACACCTCCGCCCCCTCTGGCGTGACCTGGTGGCGGATGCACTGTTTCAATTCCCGCGTCATGTACAGCTCCAGTAGGGTGTTGTACACAACCCGCTGCGACTCGCCTCCGCCGTCAAGCACACCGCTTTCCACCACCGCACGCAGAAAGTACAATAAACATACAGGGGAATCCACAAACACGTGCATGAAGTCCTTCGCCTCGCTACGGTGAGAAGGGCGTGATTGCTGTTGCTGTTGAAGACGAAAGCTGTAGTCCTGTGGGGAACTGCGATGCGTGCGGGCAGGATCTGCGAGACGCCGTGCAGGCCCCTTCCACTGAATACACAACTCCGCCAATAATTCAGTGCAGGCGCGTGGCTCCATTCCGGCGAGATCCTTCCCGACCTCCAGCAGGATGGCCTCGGCGTCGTCAACGCACAAATTCCGAATAAAGGCAAGTGCCTTCTTCGGGTTATGAAGGTTCTCAAGCTGAATGATGACGTAGTCGTGTGGCTGAGCGTATTTTTCCGCAAGATAAATCGCGGCATCGTAGTACCCCGCCTGTCGACACACCTCAATTGCATTGTGCGCATCAAAGCGAATGTCATCGCGGTGGATGAATTCCGACAGCCTCGCCTCATCACGCAGTTTGATGTAACAATTCAGCAACAGCGTCGTGTGGCTGCGGTTAGCGAGGTTCCCGTGTCGTGTGTGGTGCAGCTCCTCCAAGTAACGTGTGAGTTCTGCCGTGTGTTGCCCATTGACGAAGATGCGGATGACGTAAGAAGGCTCAAGAAAACCAATAGCCTCAATGTATTGATCGATGGCCTCTGCGTACTTCCCCTTCGAGACGAGGTAGTCGCCGTACTTTTTCTGTATGCTCATCTGCTGCGAGGCGTCCGCGGCGTGCAGCCGACGCACAATTCGCTTCGCCACATCGTAGCACTCCTTCTGAAAAAGTTGCTCAAGCCGTGCCTGCAGTTCCGTCTCCACCAGCCGCATAACGCGTTGCGCCACAAACTCCTCATGCTTCGTCTCCTGACAAACGACAAGAATATCGGCCGCATCGGCAATTACCCACGCGACGTTGGTGCAAGAGCTTTCCTGCGTGCGGCTCAAACACCGCAGGCCGTTCAAAATGTCGTAGCATTGCAGCGTAAATTTTTCCGACCGTGTACTGCTCTGCGTTAGCACGACGACGTAACTGCGGTGGGCAATAATTCGCCGCTTGTGCCCTTCCACCTCCGCGAAATGCACCGCACCAAAAAGTGTGGGGTCGAATACCGGAAGCGAGGCAGACGTCCGCGCTGACGGCGACAACACCGCTTCGCTGCCAAAGACGGCTATCTGATCGTTTGTGGCGCTTGCGACGACTAATTGACCGTCGTCCGTCAGGCAGCAGCATTCCGGCGCCGCACCAAACGGTGGGTCACAGCGGTGTTCCTTGTACTCCGCTGCCCCTGTCACCTGCCACACCGTCACACAATCTGCAAAGACGGTGTACAACGCATGCGCCACCGCTGTGTTTGAGTTGATGCTACTGCTGTTGGCGTTGGCGTTGGGATTCCCGATACCGAGTCCAAAGAGATGCTGTTTGCCCTGCGCCGCGCGTGGCGTGAACTTCGCCCCCGGGAATCCGACAAAAGCAACGGCCCCACGCGCCACACCACTACGGATGCGACAAATTTTCACGGTGGGATCGTGCTCAAGGTCGCCGCGCAGCACAACAATCTCATCGCTGACGAGCGCCACCGCGGCGTTCTGAAGATCCTCCGACACATCAAAGTCCACCACAACCGTGCGAAACGCCGTCGCAGGGATGGCGTTCACTGCATCCCCGTCTCGTCCTCTGAATTTCAGCGAGTTCATCAGTTCCGTGTTGTAGTTGGTACGAAGAACAATGCTTTCAGACGGCGGTGGGTGCTTCGCGTTAAAAAGGCGATGCTCTCTGTACGGTGGGGCCGACTCTGACACCGCGTCCAAGTTCCACACCCGCATGATGCCTGTGTTCAACGCGTCGTCGTCGCCGATGGTGACAAGCACATTCCGTGATCGTAGGTGCTTCATGTGCGTTACGGCCCCCTTGTATGCGGAGAACTCCAGCGTCGTTGTGGTGCCGCCGCGGTTTAAGGCGTACACAAACCCCTCGCCGTCGCCGACGAAAATGGCCTTGTGGCCGTAGCAGCAGCTCGTCATCTCCATGCGGCTCAGTGGCCCCTTCAACACCTCCAACTCAAAAAATTTGAAACTCCGCCAAACGGTCGCCATGGGTCACAGCAGATACAAATAAGGGATGCAGCCAACACTCACTGGACACGGCCCCGTAACGAGGGTTGAAGAAATAACAACTAACAAAGATCGTGTTGTTCAGCGTCAAAAAAAAAAAAAAAAGAATGTAAAACAAAAAGGGAGTTGAGCAACCGGCATCAGCACCGGTCAAATCCCCCTCAAGTAAATACTGCAGTGAAAACTACAACAGTAACGATAATACTGCCAACACACAAAGAAAAAAAGACCCAACTGCCAAACAGGCAAAACAAAACAAAAAAAGGCAACGTGGCGGTTTCAACAGAATAATAAAAGAATCTCCTTCCATGGTGTTTCATGTCAAGCCAACCCGATGCCTAATCGCACGCATGTCTGCAGAGTCCTTCTCCAGTAGCTCTATTAGGGCCTCCACACCTTCCTGGATACGCTCGGCAAAACGTGTCCAGTTCTTTAGAAGCTGTGGGTCTGTACGTCGCTGCAGCATACCGTCCTCTTTTGCCACAACGGGTTCACGCGCCTCGTCACCCGGGCGGCTTCGGAGCAGTGATGCGACAGTTGCGGATTCCGCGTCCAAAAAGGGCTGCAGCTCCGACAGCGCCGTCCTGTATACACCTGGTGCCGAAAGCTGCAGGTTGAGGGTCTTAACGATTCTCGCAATGCGACTCTCTTCTCCAAGAGGCAACCCGAGCTGCCGGAGGGTCTCTACCTTCTTCAGGAGCGAATACCATCGACGCTGCAGCATGACCTGCTCAAGCATTAGCTCCCGATACTGAGCGACATTTGCCTCGTCCATTTCTCTAAAGCGCTCGGATTTTGAGATCAGAACGTCCACGTGCTTCGTCATGGCGGTAATGACCTCCTGCTGCTTCTCCGCTCGCGCCTTCAGCTCCTGCATGAAGTGAATTGGACTGGGGTACATCCGAAGCGGATCCGGATTGCGTTCCTGCGCCCGCAACAGCTCCTCTTCCTTACAGCCACCTCCTGCCTGCGCCGCGATAAAGCGCTCCCGCTCCACCGCCATCGTCGACTGCCCGGGAGCACACATGTTGTAAAGAAAGGCACGAAAACGGCAGTTGGGGTGCAGAGCGTTGTATGCATTGTCCAGCTCCAGCAGGTAGCGTCCCGCAGTGCTCTGGCTTCCAAATTCCTGAATGTTCTGTTCCATTCCCACCATATTATTATTCTTCGCTCCCGCGTACGCGCCAAAACCACCAGCAGCCGTAAAACCCAGACCTCCCGTTACACCAAAACCACCAGCTATGTTGGCCGCCGTCCCGAAGCCACCGGCTGTGTTGGCCGCTGTCCCGAAGCCACCAGTTGGGTTGGCCGCTGTCCCGAAGCCACCAGTTGGGTTGGCCGCTGTCCCGAAGCCACCAGTTAAGTTGGCCGCTGTCCCGAAGCCACCAGCTGTGTTGGCCGCTGTCCCGAATCCACCAGTTGGGTTGGCCGCTGTCCCGAAGCCACCAGCTGTGTTGGCCGCTGTCCCGAAGCCACCAGCTGTGTTGGCCGCTGTCCCGAAGCCACCGGCTGTGTTGGCCGCTGTCCCGAATCCACCAGCTGTGTTGGCCGCTGTCCCGAAGCCACCAGCTGTGTTGGCCGCTGTCCCGAAGCCACCAGCTGTGTTGGCCGCTGTCCCGAATCCACCAGCTGTGTTGGCCGCTGTCCCGAAGCCACCAGTTGGGTTGGCCGCTGTCCCGAAGCCACCAGTTGGGTTGGCCGCTGTCCCGAAGCCACCGGCTGTGTTGGCTGCTGTCCCGAAGCCACTGGAGGAAACACCAAACATTCTTTCTTTTCCACTAAACTTTACGCGAAAAATTACAAAAAAAAAAAGAAATAATTGGGGTGCACCGTAGTATTGGCGGCGCGGCACGTGACTCTCCCCCAAACAAATTTGGAGTTGGCCTAACATTTTTTGTTTTTGTTTTCATCCGCCGCACTGGAGTATCTGCCGCGCAGGCAGAAACAACAACAAATGATACACATAAACACCACTCACATTCGTTCTTCCTCTTTTTCACCATTTTTTCCTTTCTTTGAAAACCCGTCGGGGCAATGGGCGCAGTACAGAGCTTACATCTGCTGTCTTCTTGCCGGCGGCAAGCGGGCACGGGCGTATTCTTGTATGGCGGCGATTGGTTCATCCGGCTTGTGAATAAGGAGATGCTGCAGAATGTCATGCAAAAGAGGTGTTATCTCCGGATGCTCCGTGATGTACTGAGAGTTTCTTTCTACCTCTTGTCTCGCGTGCTTCTCGATACGCACACGCCCCTCATAATCAAAAATTTCCTTTTGAAGGGATGTTGAGTGCATTTTAACTGCAGACACACACACACGCGCCTCCTTCTTTCTTCCTTCTGTGTTCTCTGCACCCCCCTCCTGCTTGAGCACACCAACAAGATACCACGAGAGATACAAAGAAAACACTGCAGAGAACGGGATGGCACCCAAGCGATGAGTGCGGGGTCTAATTCCGTTTTTCCGTCGCAGGGATAATAATAATAACACACACACAGAGAAAGATATATATATATATAATTAGGGAGATAAGAAAAAAGAGGGGCGCGGAAGCAAAAAAAAAATCAAAAGGGGTGCGAGACGCAACCGGCATCTTTCGCCCCTCTTCTCTCCCCCCTTCCCCTCTTCCCCTCTGCCTTGACTCTTCCACCAATAATAACACAAATTTCTCACTTCCTTTCTAACCATTCCGTCGCGCTAAAACGTTTCATGCGCACTTGTTTGCGCCACACTCTCGTCCACCCCATCGAGTCATACATCCGGCATCACAAATCCCCACGCAAGAAAAGCAGTTCGGTGCCTCTCCCCCCCCCCTCGTTCACATCATCGGACCCCACTCACCACCACAGCACCCCCCACGAGTCAACTTCCAACCACCTCCCTTTCCCAATGGGAAGTGGTGCTACATGAGCCGCAAAAGAGAAAGAA